AGCACGCTTACCAGCTGAGGCACTGAACCCTTGACACTGAATTTGTAAACTCTGCCACTGAAAGGCAGGAGACGGGCATCAAGACAGTCAATCCTACTTCACGGTAGCAATTCTGAATACATACAAAGACAGAACCTTCAGTATCTGCAAAAACTTTAATGACGAGAAACTCAGAAGCCTTTAACCTTTCAGGTATCTTACATTATAAGTAGGGACTGTGAAACCATCTATTTACATTTATATTTTAGATATCCCTTGTTCCTTCACAATGCACTATAAGAATCTATCTGTGCACTCAAGTCATTCTTCACTTAGGTCAGCACAGGGCTCTCACACGAGGGAGGGAGGGAAGAGAAGATGGCACTGGTATTCATTATGAAGATACAAAAGTATGAGAACAGAGCACAAGAGGAACAAGTGCTGGACAATGAAAATACAGTAAGCCATCCTAGGAACACACACTAGAAATCCCTGCTCCTCTGATCACTTGCCTTCTAGGCAACCTATCCCCCCAGTCTCATATACCAGAAAGCTCTTTTCGGCTTTCACCAAATATTTTTGTTTCTCCTAACTGCTGCTCCCTGCACAACAATATCACCTTGCCCAGAATCTCCCACTCCCTCCCAAAACTACTCCAAAAACTCACTTTCTGGAAATACACCAGGAATATAGCCCTGACTCCTGCTCACCTACTCATGCTTATCAGAAGAATCTCTACAAAGAACAACTAAGAAGTTTAGGCTCAGACAAATGCGCATCACATCCTTCATCCTTTTTTCCTCTTAACCTCATTTTCCTTAGGATGAGTCCTCAAAATCCACCTCTACCATGTTGCATAGAGGAAGCTGCTGTACCAAGCTGAAACCACTGTTCCTCATCAGCTGAAAACTGGGCACACCCTATTACTGTTGGTACCCCATTACCCACCGTTATCTCTACCATCTTACCCAGAGAAAGAATTGTTGCTCAACATACGTTTCTTCTACAGCATTTAATTATGATACTGAAAGGTGAACAACAGAGCAAACACTTCACATCACACTACTGTGGCTACCAGAAAAGTCACTAGTTCTCTACGCAAAGATAAACAGTTTTCAGTATTTATTTATGCCAATTATTTAAGGTCCCTACACACTTACAAGCTACCCACGTATCTGTTAGGAACATGGGACAAACAGAGTCAAGACAACAGTACAACAGAAAGAGGAATTACCAAGGAAATCCTACTCTATGTATTCAAAAAACTGAATTGTGGGATGAGTAATTCAGGTTTTTAAAAAAACACACCAATGAAATCAAAGAAATACGGGTCAGAAGGGATCACTGGAAATCATCTAGTCCAACCTTCTACTCAAAGCAGGACTATTGCCAGCACTAGAGCAGATCAGCGTTGGCTTTATTTCCAAGGACGCGAATTAACAGCCTCATTGGGTAAAACTTGATCCAGGGCTGCAATACACTCCTGGCAAAGAAAGAATACTGAAGACTGCCTCCAACAGCTAATGAATTTAAAGTGACTTCCCTAACACTGAAGTTACAGGAAGGAAACATCCCAAGCTAGCTATTCCGTCTAAAGAACAAAAAAATTCCCCATTCCTTAATTTAAAAAAACTGCTAGCTCAGATTACACTAAGAAATAAGAAACAAAATCGTTCTATCATACACAGGAAATGTATGAATTACTAACTTTCAAGGTCTCATTTGAGCACTACTACAACAATCACTAAAATTACAAATCCAGTTTACTGGAGAGTTACACCAGACAATATTTCCAGTGCTCAGCAAGCTGTTTTACACATTTACGAAACACAGCCTAACAGTGCAGTATTAATTCCCCACTGAAAATCCAATGCAATACTTAAAATATTAAAAGCATGGTGTGGTTCTAAGCTACTGTTCAGCATTTGCATATGAAAAAGGTCAAAATCCACATCTACTTCACTCAGTTTTATAAAAGCCGATTAAAACCACAACAGAAACATGCAATCTCAATATAAACACATCTCCTGACCACTTACATTGGAGTTGGCGAAAATTGAATTTGAGTTGGCTACAGAATACTCTGCATTAGTCAAGTCTTCATTGCTCTGGTGAAAGACAAAAATCACATTTAGAAATAATACACTCAATGAAGCTTATGTATGTCTAATACACAGGAATGCTACTTACTGATTTACTACTAGGTCCATGTAGAAAATAATTCAGTGCCTGTGGGTCCCTTAGGAGAGGGAAAAAAAAAGTTACCACTTTTAGGAAGCTCTTTCTGCTAATGAGGCTAATTTAACTTAAGCCAGATATTGTATTTATATAGATCAGGTTTATAGCAAAAACACATTTCCTTCACTGACTCCAATGCAAAGCTTATACCATCTGAGGACTTGTGTTTCCATATATCCTATCAGCATAATTTTCAGATTTGCATATGCTGTCATTGTGCCAAGGCATTTCAAGCATTAAACTATGTTCATCACAAAACTGTAGTTGCATTCTACTTTACTTCCCTTTATGAGGTGATTACTCACATTCTCTTAAAACACACAGTATTTTAGGGCTGCACATAGTACAAAACCTAAGGAAAATACTACCACTAATGAACATGAGAATTGTAACAGGTACCACCTCTTCTACAGAGATTACCTATAATGCCTGTTTAGCTTGTGTCTAAATCAACAGAGTATTTACAAACCTGAATCATGTTTTCTGCCATTCTTAACAGTTAAGTTAACAAAAATACCTTCTTGACAAACCTGAATCTTTTACATGTTTTCTGCCCCCCTTAACATAAGTTTAAAAAAAGCTTATGCTTGCCAGAGTTAACAGTCCCTTCACTTGGAGAAAAATGTGGCACCTTTTCCAAGTGTAATCAAACAAATCAACTGATTAAATATTATGAAACACAATTTCAGCATATTGCATTAACTCAGCACTATCACTGAATAAAACTCAAATTAAAATTGTGGTCTGGCAGATTGAGTGTTGGCAATTCAAACAAATCAAAAATACATTACTGCAACTGTACTCACAGATCAAGTAAGAACATGAAAAAGTTGTGTTACATCGGATTATTTTAATCCAACAATTATACATCATTTCCCAATGTGTACATGAGCATGAAGAGTAAAATGACATGGAGTTTTTTTATTTTAAAACACCTTTATTGATTAACAAGTAAATTTTTGACAAGTGGGAGATTCTCATGTAAAAAAAAGATTAATTAAAAACATCTCTCCTTCTCTCTTGATCATCCTAGAAAATAAAGAGGGAACAAGTTAAAGATCTTTTCAGGTTTACAACTAGTCTTCCAAAAGCACAAATACAACTCTATTCCTCTTTTTTTCATTTAAAAAACAAACTGCATTCATGCATTTACAAAAGACATGTTAGACAGTACTTGGCAGGGATTTTATGGTACAATTATGTTTACAACACAGAAGTGGTTAAATATCTTTTCAAACAAAAATGTAATTTTCATAGTAGATTACACTAAATTTCAAGAATTAAGGAGACTAGAACTCATGATCTCATACAGGACTCTATCATGCTTATGAGTTTTATTTATAAATAACCAGGCCATTTAATACTAATTACACTGACTGGCTTTAAATAATGGAAAATGCAATTAAAGCTGAAGAACACTTTATCACCTTAAATATTGTCTTTAGAAAGGAAGGAATTTTAGTAGGCATTTACCAAAATCAGACGGGGGGGGGGAGGAAAATGTTGTTTTCCATTCTTCTAGATGCTTAAGACAGTAATTGCTGCTAACAGCAGGAGGAACACTGTAATTCTTCACACACTCATCTGTATAGAGAGCACTTCATTTTCTGGACCACCCGTGAACTTGTACCAGGATCCTCACGATTCATGCTCGTGACAGAGCACTTAATTGTCCCACGCAGCCTTTACATTCCAAGCAGGATGTGTTTCCATACAGCTACAATCAGTAACCTTGCACAGATACTTCACAGAATGTAACTGTGAGCCATCACTGGCAACGCTTCTCCTATGGCATCCACAGCGTAACCCCCAGATCTGAGCAGCCACCGTGGTGAGATTTTGTTTTTTTCTGAAGTTAAAGCCCTCACTGTTTCACTGGAAGCTTTGAGTGCATGAGAAAGGTAAAAGGCCTCCTTATTTACTGCATTTAAGACAGTAAAAATTCCTTGCATGAAACAGGGATGATCTTTTAGTAGCTGCTATGAGACTGACATCATACTAATTTCTGGCAGTTTGAACGAAGTATTGTATATGAAATGCTCAACTTTCTTCTTATGTTTTAAATGCATTACAGCATATCATCTGTCCTTGAATACTGACATGAATGTTAGCCAAATGGGGGGTGGGGGGAAGGACCCTTTAAAATCACAGAATCACAGAATGTTGGGGATTGGAAGGGACCTCGAAAGATCATCTAGTCCAACCCCCCTGCCGGAGCAGGAACCTAAATGAGATCACACAGGAAGGCGTCCAGGCAGGTCTCGAATGTCTCCAGAGAAGGAGACTCCACAACCTCCCTGGGCAGCCTGTTCCAGGGCTCTGTCACCCTCACAGCAAAGAAGTTCCTTCTCAAGTTTAAGTGGAACCTCCTGTGTTCCAGCTCACACCCATTGCCCCTTGTCCTATCACTGGACATCACTGAGAAGAGTCTGGCTCCATCCTCATGACATCCACCCTTTATACATTTATAAGCATTACTGAGGTCACCCCTCAGTGTCCTCCTCTCCAAGCTAAAGAGACCCAGCTCCCTCAGCCTTTCCTCATAAGGGAGATGCTCCACTCCCTTAATCATCTTGGTGGCTCTGTGCTGGACTCTCTCAAGCAGTTCCCTGTCCTTCTTGAACTGTGGGGCCCAGAACTGGACACAACATCCCAAATTTTATTTAATTATCCCAAATTTTCTTTAAGTATCAATTATCTTTGAATAAAATGCTAATAAATTCCTGTTTGTTGTGAATACTTAACAGTACTGGGTAATAATTCTATTTTTCTAACATTTTTATGCAAATGCATGTTATTAGTATAAATTAAGTATTTATAACTAAGAAAATAATAATTTTACTTTTCCCTTTAAGCATTCTGTTAACAAAGCATCAAGTTCCACTACTCAAAAAAATTGAGATCTTTGTATTTTTCATCAAAAAAATAGTTCTTTGCAATGAAGTCTGTAACAACTTCCCTTGTAATGTGCTTCAACATTGACCTGATATTACCACTCATTTAATTTGAAAGTCACCTAGTCTTGAGACAATCCTGAGACAGAATCACCTTCTAGAAGATGATTTTGCAAAATTATTTTTCACACCTTTTCTGAAATAATTGCTTAAGGAAAACTTACCCAATAAGATCAAGGAGACAGGATTCATCATCATCATCATCCATGACAACTAGAACAAAAAGGGAGAAGATGGATATTTCATATGTATCAGACAAAAGATTGCTTTCAACAATAAAAACAATTTAGAATATCTCAATATTTTTTATTAAACAATGTATTTAGTTTACAGATGTCTACTATTGACAAGGTTCTTAAATAAACCTGTACCTCCTACAGAGATCCATTGATTTATCTCAAAAATCAAATTCAGTCCCATGTAATGGTATACAAAATCCCATGCAATGTTTTACCATTTAGAGGGGTTTTTTAGAATTTTAAATTGGAGAAAGATAAATTATTAACCAAACTAAATAGAACTTCTATGACTTAAAAAGTAGTTTAAAAAATCAACACTGAATGCAACCTCAAGACTCCAGTTGAAATGCTTCTACAGGAATTTACTCCCAGCTAATCTCAGTGAGGGAATAATCGAACACTACGAAACCTACGAAGTCTGACAGAAATTAGTGGCTATAACACTGACAAGCCCAAAAAGGTAAACAAATTTCAGTCAGTATCAGGACAGCGCTGTTCTAGGCGAGAATCAAAACTACAGCCGAGACATTACAAAGCATTACAAAGGACACCACTTTCTAGGAGATCTTTCTTAGCTATTGCTAGTGACAACATGGCCATTCTGAGTTTCTCTGCAACAACACACAGAATTGTGCTTAAATCAACTTGTCATTAAGAGCACAGAGTTCTCACAAACCTTTTAACAATGCGTGGAGGGTTCATTTGCAGTAGCCAAACTGCACATGTGCATCCATCCACTGGGTGCAGCGCAATTTTTAGCCTCACAATATAATGACCAACTCCCCTACACACTGCCTACTCACAGAATCACAGAATGGTGGGGTTGGAAGGGACCTCTGGAGACCATCTAGTCCAACCCCTCTACCAAAGCAGGTTCACCTGGGGCACGTTGCACACGCAACACTGCATCCAGGCAGGTTTTTAATAGCTCCAGAGATCTCCATGAACATCTCCACAACCTCTCTTGGCAGCCAGAGCCAGTGACAGAGCCAGTGCTCTGTCACTCTCACAGGTGCTCGATCAGGTGCTGCCTGTACCAAACATGTTCT